TTCAAAATTGAAGTGATGTAAAATATTTTTCACTTTTTATGAATACATCAATTCCTTTTGAAATGTATCAATGCTAATTCAGACTGGCAAGATTACCCTTTATTTTATAGCCCAGAACAATATTATTGAGAAGATGGAAGATGCTCCAGGTGTTCAGTGATTCTCGATTATTGGACTTGAGTGCATTCTTTTCTGAAGTAACAGAAGGCAACACAATGAAGGGACAGAAAGTTTGCCTTGCTTACTTACAAGCTCTGTGTCCATGGGTAAGTTACTTGATCTCTCTGGAGATCCATTTTCTCATCTGTGAAAGGGATATTATATAACAACATGTAGCCCAGAGGATTATTATAAATGTTAAATTAAATATTTTATATATAAATAATATTCAATAAATGACATTTATTATCTTTGTGACATCTGCACTTTAAGACCTTAACCTATTAACACAATGCTGATGAGCTGATAAGAACCATGTCCTTTTTNCAAGAGACAGACATGGTCCAGTGAGAAATGCAAGGACTCTCTGTTGCCTTGTTCCTCAAAGAATGGACCAAGGAGCAGCAGCATTCCTGGGAGCTGGCTTGAAATTCAGAATCTCAGACTCCTTTCCAGATCTGAGACATAAGAATTTCTCTTAAGACGATTGCAGCCCAAATTATCTGCCTGGGGAATAACAAGAGTAATAGCAGCAAACGTGTCTGAACTTCTTCCATGTACTGGGCTCTGACCAAGAGTTATATCCTTTGTTAATTCATTGAATTCCCACAGCAACCTAGGATATGTACTATTATTATTCCCATTTTACAGACATGGAAATGAGTCACAGAAAGATTACATAACTTCCTTTCATCATGCAAATAGTAAGTATTGAAGCCAAGGAAATCAGCTGTATTTATCTTTATTTCAAAGGAAAGATGTCCAAGAAAGGAAAGGTTGTGTTGATATTTAAGAGAGGGGTGCTGAAGAATCAGGCCTCTGTCTGCTGTTGATGCTGAACAAAAATAGCTTTACCACTAGAAAAGGTGTATTGGAGGATCTGACTTACAGATGGAAACCCAAAATGGCCTTTCCTTCCTTCTATCCCATACATCCCTCACCCAGTTGTTGGTTAAGTAGCAGGATAACTTCAGGCTTCCCCTTACAAGAGGAAGGCTACAACATGATGGGTATATTTCAAGGCTATAACATGGAGGGCACATTGTTCAAAGTCCAGCTCCAAAAATAAATGTCCAGTGATGAACATGGACCTCGTACATGTGAATTCCTTCCAGGGGAAACCATCTCTTCATCTGCAGTCACAAGATTGGGATCTTTTGGGAGATGTAAGAGAGAAGAAAGAGAGAGAAGTGTCCTCCCTCCTAGAGAATATACTGAGAAATTTGTATTTTGTCGTCCTGCAAGACTGTGGGAAGAGGGAAAAGGTTGCTTCTCCCAAGGTTATGATCAGCTCTGTATATATCAACTGTAAGTGAAAACTACTGTCTCTGCTTCAGAAGAAGGTAAAGAAGTTGAATAAGACCTCCTTTATGCCAGCCTATCAGAGAAGGTGCGCCCAGGCATACCTCTTGGTATTTGAACTTGCTCTCTGCCTTACATAGTCCCTCCCCTATTGAATCTCCTGCTGAACTTGTATGCATCGATCAAACCCCACCTCAAGCATTACCTCCTCAGTGAAGTCTTCCTCGTTTCTTTGTGTTCATTCTGATACCCTTGGCAATACTGATCACCCCTCCCCTGAGCCACTACCATATCTTGCATATATTTTTATGATAAAATGTATCCTGCCGTATTTCAATTATCATTTCCTCCATTGAACTCAAGGATGGAATCACATTCATTCTTGAATTCCCAGTGTCTAACACAGGCCCAGTAAATACTTTTGCATAGGTAAAAATCCATATGTACCTGCCATGAAAGTCATATTTAAAGTAATCGGGAGTGTATAGAATTGTCCTGTCTAGTATGACATCTACTAGTTGCATGTGGTTATTTAAATTTCAATGCTTTAAAATTAAATAAAAATTTAAAAGTCAGCTCTTCAATTGCATTTAACACATTTCTAGTGCACCATAGCCACATGTGGCTAGTGGTACTGCAGCGTTGATATGGAACATTTTCAAAATTGAAGTGATGTAAAATATTTTTCATTTTTTATGAATACATCAATTCCTTTTGAAATGTATCAATGCTAATTCAGACTGGCAAGATTACCCTTTATTTTATAGCCCAGAACCATATTATTGAGAAGATGGAAGATGCTCCAGGTGTTCAGTGATTCTCGATTATTGGACTTGAGTGCATTCTTTTCTGAAGTAACAGAAGGCAACACAATGAAGGGACAGAAAGTTTGCCTTGCTTACTTACAAGCTCTGTGTCCATGGGTAAGTTACTTGATCTCTCTGGAGATCCATTTTCTCATCTGTGAAAGGGATATTATATAACAACATGTAGCCCAGAGGATTATTATAAATGTTAAATTAAATATTTTATATATAAATAATATTCAATAAATGACATTTATTATCTTTGTGACATCTGTACTTTAAGACCTTAACCTATTAACACAATGCTGATGAGCTGATAAGAACCATGTCCTTTTTTAAACACCAGTGCCTTTAGGCTTGACTTGTCATGAATTGTATAAACTATTGCAAAAGCAAAGGCTGACCTAACTGGATCAGCACACATTAGGATTATAATTCCTACTCTGCCTTTACTATATCTCAATTTCATCAACTGTGCAATGGGCATAATACATTCTTATGGGATTTTTATGAAAGGCAAAGACATTGCCCAAAAAGAGCTTAGCACAGAAGATGGAAATTTGTATGCATTAAATAAACTCCAGAAATAAGTATCTGCTGTTTCCAACTTTCTACCAGTGTTTGTTGCAGGTCTACAACATATTCAGTGCTAGTTTGTTAAATGAATGAATGAATGGAGTACGCTAAATCAATAAATATCTGCACCCAGTTATCGCCTGATATGAGACTATGAATACACATCACTTGCAGGTCTACAACATATTCAGTGCTAGTTTGTTAAATGAATGAATGAATGGAGAATGCTAAATCAATAAATATCTGCACCCAGTTATCGCCTGATATGAGACTATGAATACACATCACTAACATGGTCACTCATGAAAGTGCAGCATGTGAGTAGATAGTTCATACAAAGTCTTTGTGCATTTCAGGCAGTAACTGTTATAAGGGAGAATATGACTTTAACTGCAACAGCTGAGAGCTCTATACTTCGATTCTCACAATTCTCATAATTATCCAAATATTATTTTTGTTTTCTGCAAAATTTATGTATAATACATAGCTGACTGCCAGTTAATATTGAAAGTACAAAATTTTTCTGTTTACACTTTTTTTTAACATGTACCATATTTATTTAAATAAGTGAACTCTGCTTAAAAATAGCCTAGTGTTTCACAAAAGAAAACCAGATTCATTTAACTGTTCGACAAAGTTTAACCAATTTGTTTTTATTTATTTACACTTCTGATGAATGCAGAAAGGTCTATAAAAACCTATAATTGGGGTTCAGAAAAAGTGCATTACATATGATGTGAATGTAATGCTCATCTGTGGCTGATGGAATTCATTCAATAATCCTGTAGCTATATTAACAGTGGCTGGGCTTGTTATTCTCCATGAAACCTAGCCAAATCCATTTCCTTCCCTTCTCTGCTCTGCCCCTCATCTCCCTGGCTTTCTTGCTGGTTGTCTTCCAATTTGGATTGATCTGAGGGAGGCACCAATATGTGATCTAATGTGAGCAAAAGTAAATAGCCTGCTTCAGTACTTCACTATGGCAGAAGTTGAATCCTTCCAGGATCATGGCTCCCTGAGGATAAAAATCCTCCATAGTTGTCTTCTCACTTGGCTCCAGAAACTTAATTTCCTCCCCCATCCATTTAGCCTTGTGGGTGGGAATGGCTTCCCAGCATTGCTCATCTCTGGGTGCCTCCCTGTCCCCTGTTTAATTCAGTAAACTCTGTAATAGTCTCTTTATTAAATTATATTCATTTCAACACTCTGGAGTAAATTCTGTTTTCTACTAGATCCAAACTTGTGCACAGGTTAAAGGAGAAAGCACTGGTGCAGGTACTCACCAGGTATTTGACTATGGGAAATTTATTAATTTCTCCTAACCCCAGTTTACTTTTCTGCAAAATATAATAATAGTATTTAATCTATAGTGTTGTGTAGTTGGTATGTAGTAATTAGAGGGAATATCATGAACATTTCTAGAAATTTTGAGACAATATGCTTTTGTGTCCTGAGTGGGTAAATAACAGGTGAGATTCGTATTTTGAAGTCACAAAGGAAGCCAGACTGAAAATGAAATAAAGGAAGGCAAATCTGAAAGAACTGCAGAAAAACTGAGCTAGAGCTCTGATCGAACTGTACCTAAAGGCTCATCTGATAGCAGGGTTATTTTGTATTCCTCTTGATAGTTTAAACCAGTTTGGATTTGTTCTTTTAATATTAGCCACTGTAAAACATCCAGCTTCATAGAAGAAACAAACTGTCTTCACATGTTAACTAATTAGATATTAATAGCATAAATATACAATTTGATATATGTTTAAGTAAATTAGCCCATTCTCTAAGCTTGTTGAATGGTGTGCTTTGATAGCTGTTTCTAAATCCCACAGAAAAAATTCCTAAAATTAATGGTTTAACTCTAGTATTTGTAGAAATACTCAGGCAAGCAGCCTAATTATACATATGGTAGTTTTAAAATCAATTTAGTAAATTAGTAACTGAAAATATTAGTTATCCAGACCGATCAGAAGAAGTCTGTTTTGGCCTTATAAGCTTAACATTGAACACAGAAGTTACCATATGCAAATGTAAAAGACAAAGGTAGAAGAAATGACTGAGAACTTCAAAAGAAGTGCTGTTATTGTCAACAAGGCAATGTCTATTCTCTTTACAAAACTGAGTTTAGGGAATATTTACAATTAAACTTGTATACAATAGTAATTTTGAATATATTTTTAATTTATTTTTTCAAAATAATGACATTAGCAAAGATTTTACATAGCCTGTATTGAATTCACATATTCAAATGAGGCTTTATTAGTAGTAATGGGGATTAATACAGAGTTAGCGTTTGGCATTTGGCTTTATATCAAAGGAGCTAACTGTTCTATGAATTACAGAAGACTGATACTGTTTTTATTTGATTTCTTCTGAAAATTAAAAAAAAAAAGAAAAGCTTTACTAAATCGTTGACATACACATTTACTCCAAATTTTACATTTAGTGAAACAATATCTGTGATAGCTCAGTTAACATCAACAGAAAGCTTCAAAAAATGATTCTGAAAATGGCAGGCAAAATATTTTTTATTGTAGGCAATTGTTTAAACTGCATATTTGGTTTTATGCATAATAAGTCATGTGGGGAAAACATCCACATTGCATTAGGTTTCCAGTATCTAGCTTTCATTTTTTTTTTTTAAGCAATTAACAGGATTTTGCCAGGTTATAAAAATGAGGGCTTTCTTGAGAGTTACTTGTAGTTTCCAAGCTGAATGGCAGAGCGCACATAGACACATCGGAAGGTGGATGGCTGGATCTCCCAGTACTGAACCGGGTTACTGAAAAGACTCACACCCGAATAAGAAGCCTTTTTGGTGTTGTATCCAGGTGGGCAGAAGTCATTTGCTCCAACTGCAGAGATATTGTTGTTATGAAGGTAGACAACCTGCAACATGAAACAATGGAGAATGCTTATTTTTCCCAAAATACATTGAGGCCCTTCATGGTATACTTTTTAAAACTTTCATCCTTTAATTTGAATACCTTAACACTTCTCAAACCAAACTTTTGATTTCTCCCTTCCTTTCCAAACGTGCTTTTCCCTTCGTTAGTCTTTTCCATCTCAGTTAGCTGCATGTCAATCCTTCCAGATGCTCAAGCTATAAACATTGTCATTACCCTCTAGCCTCCCTTTCTCTTACACTCTCTACCCAATCATCAACAAATCCTGCTAGCTCAACCTTCAAAATGTACACATAGTCCAGTTCTTCTCCCCATGTCTACCCCAGCAACCTTGTTCAAGCCACCATTGTCTCATTCTTGTCTCATTCTGGATGATTAAAGATGCCCTTATTTTTCTTCCTGCTCCTGCTTTCTTCTTTGCTTTCCCAAGTTCTCTTCCTCTTTTTCTCCTTCTCCCCCCACCCTTCTTTTTTTCTTTTTTTCACTCCCAGAGCAATTCTTTTAGAAAGTAAGCCAAATAATATCTTTTTGCCTGTGCACTCCAGTTTTTTTTTTTCGCTCCCAGAGCAATTCTTTTAGAAAGTAAGCCAAATAATATCTTTTTGCCTGTGCACTCCAGTGGTTTCCCATCTCATTCAGAATGAAATCCAAAGCTCACATGGTGGTCTTATAAATACTACTTAATATGACATCCTTCTGCTCTGAACTCATCTCTCTTCACTATTCCATCCAACCATCTTCCCTCTTTGCTTATTTCTAATATACAAAGCATGGTTCCTCCTTAAGTTGTCACACACTGCTTCCTCCACCTGGAATAATCTTCGTCAACATGTATGCAGAGCTTGCTGTCTCATATAATTCATTTCTTCTTAACATAGAGGCCTTCCCTGACCACCTCATTCTTCCAGTCTCTGTCCCAATTACATTTCTTTATTTTTCTTTATAGCAGTTATCACTACATAACATATTATGCATTTATTTGGCTTTTGTCTGTTTTTCTCCTCTGGAGTATAAGATCCATGAGACGAGAATCTGTTGTTTTTTCATGGCTGTATCTCCAATGCCAACTAGAATAGATTGTGTTCAGTAAATGTGTTGAATGAATAAATGTTATTTCACATGAACTATATCCATCTACATGAAATATGATGTCTTCAGGGAAAAAACAAAATGACAGACCTTTTAATAAAATTATATGGGATGAGGAAGCAATGTGTAGTGAAAAAAATAAAGAGGGCATACAGTATTGGAATTGAAATAAAGAATCATAAAGTCTAAGAAATACTTCAGTTTTACATCACTTATTTAAAATAAATATGCCTAGAAAGTTTCAATGAAAATTTATTTTGTTACAATTTCTACTCGATGAATGCCATTTTTTTTCTAAAATAGATTTTATGATCATGTTTAAGACAATGGTAATTTGTTCATAGATTTTTTATTTCTACTTTGTGCATGTGAATTCTGAAGATTAAGAAGAGACTTCTCTAAGATCACATAACCAAGGCAAGAATATAATTCTAAGACAACAATTTCTAAATTGAGCCATAAAACCTATGAGGCGCTCCCTTAAAAAATTGACTTGAAACATTGCTTTACCTACCAGAACATACACATCTATATGTTGGTGAAAATCACCTTGTTTAAGAAAGGGTTAAAAGGAGGATAATAGATATCATATAAAAACATAAATGAAGGATGTTAAAGTCAAAGCAATTTTTATGAGCAGTTTTTGATTCTCAAATTTTGAAAATTTCTTGTTGTTGTTTACCATCCTCTATTTTCCAAAGTGATTAGCGAGAAAAGAAAGGGGTGTTTGGTAAGATTTAATGGCTATTATTAAAAGTGAAAGAAAATATCAAGAGATAAAGCAAATATTAGTTCATTAAGAAAAGGAGGTTCCCAACCCCTTCTATGAGGTCAATATTTTTTGATACCAAAGCCGGACAAAAATTATCACAAGACAAAATAACTATAATCAAATATTTCTTATAAATATAGCCAAAGATATTTAACAAGTATTAGAAAACTGTATTTCACAACATATAAAAGGAGTATATACTACAACCAAGCATGATTTATTTCAGGAGTTTAAAACTAGTTTAGCATCTGAAAAGAATGAAGACTACCATCCACATGATTATCTCAAAAGACACAGAAAAAGCATTTGAAAAAAAAACAACAACAGTCATACTAAAATATTTTAATAAACTAGGAATAGAAGGGAAATTTCTAAACCCAATAAAAAGCATTTAGCTATAATGTTAATGGTAAAAAAATTAAATACTACCCCCCTTCTAAAGTAGGGAACAAAGCAAGGATGTCTAATTTCATCACTTCTATTCAACACTGCACTGTAGATTTTAGCTAGTGCAATGAGGAAAAACAAAATCAAAAGGAATCCAGATGAGAAAAGAATATTTAAAACTGTTTTTTTTTCACAAATGACGTGATCTAAATATAGAATATCCAAAGGAATACACGAAAATTACTACAACTAAAAATAAGTTCAGCACAGTATTAGGATAGGAGATCAATATACAAACATCAAATGTATTACTGTATACTAACAACAAACAAAAATTAAATTAAGTAACAATTCATTCAGAACAGCATCAAAAAATTAAAAATTTAGGAACAAATGTAAAAAAGTTGTAAGACTTTGCTAAAAATAGCAAAATATTGTTGAAAATTATTAAAGAAGATATATCTAGAGATATATTCTTAATTGTTAATTGAAAGGCTTAACATTATTAAGAAGGCAGTTCTCTCCAAATTGATCTATAGATTCAATATTTTCCCTTTCGAAGTCCTAGAAGGATATTTTTTCAGAAAAAAACAAGCTAATTCTACAATTTATATGAAATGTAAAGGAATCAGAATAGCCAAAATAATTTTGAAAAAAAAGGAGTGAGTTGGAGGACCTATACTTCCCAATATAAAAACTTAATCAAAAGTTACAGTAATCAAAAGGTACAGTACTATCATAAGAATAGACATATAGATAAATGTAATATAATTGAAAGTCCAAAAATAAATGCTTATATTTATGCTCAAGTGATTTTCAACAAGATTCAAGGCAATTCATTGAAGAAAGTGTTGTATTTCCAACAAATGGCACTGGGACAATTGGCTATCCACATGCATAAATAAATTAGACTCTTACCTCACAATATACACAATCTTAGTTGTAAAACAAAGTATATGAAATTGAATTATAGACCTAAATACAGGATTAAAATTATGAGATTTATAGAAGTTAGATAAAGTATTTTTCAATTTAACACCAAAACTATAATCAATAAAATGAAACAAAAATGATAAAGTAGTTAATGATTCCCTGTGTCTGGGGATGAGATTGCAAATCAACTAGAAATGGATAGGAGGGCTATTTGGAGGGTAACAGAAATGTTCTAAAACTGGATTTGTGGTGATGATTGGTTGAACAGCTACATAACATTTGATAAAAAAATTGAATTGTATATTTTTTAAAAGGCAGTAGAGTAGCTGAAATCCCTGAGATTCTGTAAGAAGGGAGATAAAATGAGTCTGTGGATAGTCTATTAGATATGAAAAATCAAGCATGAGGCCCTTCTGAATGTGTGGCATAGTGCAGATACCCATGAGATTTGTTTACATTCAACAGTGACTCCAAAACAGCATGTTTTATCATTTTTTCCTGTGACTCACAATAAGAAACACATTATATACTGAGGCTTAGTATATATGCATGTTTCTATATAAAACAAAATTTTTATGAAATTCCATTACAGTAATCTATTTTATTATATTCTATCCTGTTCTCTTTTTTAAATATCCCTAACAAACTCATTAAACTGATTTTATGAACCCAATAATGTGTCCTGACTGATAACTGAAAAACAGCAATCACGAAGGTAAAAACGCATATTCTGGGATACAAAAACATAAATAAACAAACAAACAAAAAAAACTACTGGCAACAAAAATCTTACTAATAAAAATAATAGCTAGTCTTAATAAGTTTTCTAAGCATCTTGATTTTACTTGTGGCTTCAAACTCCACCTACCCCACAAGCTACCATCAAAGAACCCACTGAAAAAGAATTAGTATTTAAGAAAAAACTTTGTTTTATGTTCATACTTACAAATCACATACTTTATTGAAATCTAGCTAATGTAAACTATGCTATGCCAATTTAATTTGAAGTTTTTGTTACAACAACAAAAAAAAGGAGTTCAGTAACTTTTTCACATTGATAATAGCAGAGTAAAAGATGAGCCTATCTTTGAACCTCAAGGAAAGTTTAGGTACAAGATTACCAAAAGGAAAACTTTATAAAGTTATCTTGTCTATAAAAAATCATCAAGATATTGTTTCTGAATCACCATCAGAGAACTAAGTACCTATGTAAATTTCTGAAAAAAACAAAATTTGAGTATGATATTTATGAAAACTGAAAAATTTAGATAAAAGAAAGATGTGAAATCTATGAATAATTACATTATTGAATTTTCAGAAAAATTTAATTATCTGAATAACATTTTTGTTTTATTTCCTCAAAGTAACAATGAAAGTCTTCAATTGTTACATAATAAATTATTACTAATATTCAAACTAATACACATGCCTTTCATTTGTAGATTTACAGACTGCAGCCCCCTATCATCACAGTGGACCACTGAACTATATTTTCTTATCTGCACTAAGCACTATAAATTGATATTTTATAAAATGTTATTCAGTGACATTGCTAGCTAAACATTCCCTTTTGCACTATATGACATCTGCTGAAGCTAAAAGTTAAAACTACTATTTTATTCCACATCCGTACATCACAGATTATATCATCTCACCCAACCAGCATTTATTTGTTACACTGATCTGTGACCTGAAACTACTCTGCTTCATAAAAGATATTACATTTTGGCATGAAGCATTATAATAAGTTCAAAGCAATAGTCCTAATTTTAAAATTTAAATAATTTTAAAAATTCATAATTCAAACCTAAGTTTTTTTTTATAAAACTGGAGTGAATATTTATGTGGAAACATTAAAAATATCTCTCTGAGCAATGAACTGAAGGTTTGCACCCCCCAAAACTTATATGTTGAAACCCTAATCCCAATGTGGTATTTGAATGTGGAGCCTTTGGAAGTGATTAGGTCATGAGGGTAGAGCCCTCAGGAATGGGATTAGTGCCCTTATAAGAAAAGGCCAGAGAACTCATTAGCTCTCTTTCTACTATGTGAGGCCATAATGAGAAGCTGGCAGTCTGACACCTGGAAGAGGGTTCCTGCCGAAACCTGACCATTCTGACGCCCTGATCTCTGAATTCTAGCTTCCAGAACTGTGAGAAAATAAATGTTTATTATTTAAGCCACTCAATGTGTGGCATTTTGTTATAGCAGTCCTGGCTGACTAAGACACTGTGCAAAAAAGTTTTCTAAGCAGAGCTCCCTGCTTTCTGACATCCCAGTAGGGAGGGTAAACTCTCTAGGTATTTCTCACAGGTAAGTATTGGCTTTGCATTACCTGAATGTACTTATGCTCCGCCAGCCCACCAGGTACTTTGATGAGCTTGTTGTTGTTTAAGTGAAGCTCCCTCAAATGAGGTGTGTTGGCCAGAGAGCCATTGTCGACAGCAGAAATGCTATTGAAACTCAGTCCCAACCTGTAACAGAGAGCAGAGATGTATTCATACACCACACACACATGGATGACTTTCATACAAACATTGCCAAGTTGATAGAAAAGGACTTTTTTTGGTTTTGCACATACCATTCCCTCTGCCTAGAGTGCCTTTTCCAACCTTTCTGAGCCCGGACAAAGCCCATTTGTTCTTAAAGTCTCAGCTCAGAGTTACCTTCTTTGAGACATCTCTGACAGAACAAGACTGGACAGGTACCCCTCAAAAATGCTCTGTATCATCCTGTGGCCAACCTCTTGTAAAACTTAGGCGACTGTATCCTTGAGTGCTTCTCCTAATAGTGACTGTCTTGTAGTATACCCAGCACTAACACAGTGCTTGCCATGCTTAATAAATACCTGTTGAATGGATTTCTATGCCTACTGAATAGAGTAAATTCACTTGAGAGAGAACTAATAAAAATTGTGCATTTATCATATAAATTTAGCCATTGAAAATAAAAGGAGCAGCATTCTAAAAAGTCAATAAACCTACCTGCTGGAAAGGTTAATGTAATTAGCATTCTGCATTAATTTGAAAGAGTTCCTCAGGGACCATCTAACTGTCACTGTCAGAATTCACCTGGTACCAACATTCCTGGCTTCTGACTCAGATCTCTGACCTAGATCTCTGTCTGTTGGCCCCTGTGACATTTCTCACACATGAACTTCAAGTTTAATTCACTCAAGGTTTTGGTTCACATTTTTTTTTTAATTAAATGAATAACATTTGAGAGTTCTGCTGCTGTGATGTCACCTCACAGTTAATAGAATTTCAGGGCCAGAAGAAGTTGACTTGGAGACATGGCTTGTTTGTTCAACATTCTAGGGATGAAACCATCAAAAGCAGAATGTCAATCCAAAAGACAGAGATGGATTACCAGGTAAGAGCCAGCAAGATAATGGAACACAGCCAGAAAGCTCCAAGGAGAGAAAAAAAAAAAAGAATTTATTGGGTTCCTTCAAAAGCAATCAATGGAAAAAATCTGGACACTTTTTGTAGGATGGTTTCTGCTAGGCTTCAGCTAGTTCTGATCTTTGAGCCCTTTTGGGATTTAGATGCTGGCTTAGATAAGCAAAGTTTCCCAATTTTGCTTCATATGTAAAATAAAGGAGATTAAAGTTTACTGATTTTAGGCTATACCTTAGCTATTGCATCCTGGCTCAGAACATTTTGATTTTCCCTCCATCTTGGGCAATTCTCTCTTATTTCTGGCTTTTCCTTTTCTATTTAAGAATTGTGTCACTTATTCCTTACAATACTCCAACTTCCAATATCCAATTTTGGACAAATATATTTATTAGAATATAATATTACTAATAATTTATTCAAGAAAACTGTTCATTTAATCAACTATTTATTTATATATTCTATCAACAAATGTTTTCGAGGACCTACAATTGTGCATGATGTTATTCTAGGCATTGTGATGGGCAGATGTCACATGGATCACAAACCATGATTTTTTTTCCATCAAAGAATATTTCACCTAGTCAGGGAGATGATCACACATACACATACACACTTAATAAGAAAAGAAAGGGAAGTTTGTCTGAAAACCATTTTATATTTCTGCAGAGAGTCATACACTATTTTCTCCCTACTTGTTCCTAATAAGAAATTGAAACATTTGTCCTGAAACAATGTAGTGAGTTCAGTGGCTGCCATTTTTTACAGTTTTGATTTTAGCACCAAAATACTTCTCATGTTTCAACATTAGTGAGGAATAAACAACATAAGGATTTGGTGATTTAATAGACAGATTTTTCTGGATTTGATTCCAAAAAGAAAAATTAAAGAACTGAGAAATTTGCCTAACCACTGAAGCAATTGCTCTAATTTAATAAATGGAATCAAAATCCATTTAAAGAAAAATCTGAATTTCTATTGGCTTTTTTGAAATTTATTAGCTCTTTATACTTCTATTTGATACAAAGCATATGACCTCAATATTAAAGTGAAGAATCTCAAAATCTCCCTACCACATTTAGTACAAAACTTACGTTTTTTCTAAAATAACACACATATTTTGAATGATTTACTATATTTAGAACTTCAGAATATTGTTTGTCTCTATTACTATTACTACTAATAATAATAACCCCCAAATAATATCTGTCTTAAAAAGAGATCTACACAGGGGCTGGCCCGGTGGCGCACTGCTACAGTGCGCCGCTTGAGAGCGCGGCGGCGCTCCCGCCAAGGGTTCAGATCCCACATACAGACTGGTTCCCGCTCACTGGCTGAGCGAGGTGCGGGTGCAGCACCGAGTTGTGATCCCGTTGCCGGTCCTGGTCCGGTATGGGCGCGACACTGAGGGTTGCGATCCGTTGCCGGACACGAAAAAAGACAAAAAAAAAAAAAAAAAAAAAAAAAAAAAAAAAAAAAA